TTTTCTCCACCTTTTCCTCCCTCTCCATCTCTTCTTCCTCCTTTTTCTCCCCCTTTTTTCACCTTCCTCCTTTATTTGTGTTGGGACAAGTGTCCAACAGCTATTTTCCCTCTTTCTAGCTGTTGGACCCCACCCAAAGTCTGATTTTCCAGCCGGCACATGGCCGTTGTGCCTCGGACTATCAATTTGCTGTTCTATGTGCACGGGTGCGGTGCTGTTCACACTATCAGTTTGCTGTTCTATGTGCACGGGTAGGGTGCTGTTCAGATTGTTAGTTTGCTGTCCTATGTGCATGGGTAGGGTGCTGTGCACACTGCCGTTCTACTGCTCTAAATGCTTGAGTAAGTATCGACCGGTCACTTCTTGCTGCGTCCTCTCTTGGAAATTCTACGGTTCTGAGACGGAAATCTTCACTGTTGCAAGGCTGCTCGCGAATCCGAAAACCAGCGACCTACGAAAGAGGCCAGAGGGGTAGGGAGTTGGGCGGTAGAATAGGACCGGTCGCGGACCACGGGGCAAGCAAACCACCATAGCCACCTACACCCATCCACCGTAGCCAGGCACCCTCAACCTCCATCCTCCTCCTCCTCCGCCTACACCCATCCACCATAGCCATGCACCTTCAACCTCCATCTCCCTCCTTCACCTACACCCATCCGCCATAGCCATGCACATTCAACCTCCACCTCCCTCCTTCACCTACACCCGTCCACCATGGCCACGCACCTTCAACCTCCAGCTCCCTTTTTCACCTACACCCTCAACCATAGCCAGGCACACTCAACATCCATCCCCCCTCCTCCACCTACACCCATCCTCCATAGCCATGCGCCCTCAGCTCCTCCTCCCTCCTCCACCTACACCGATCCGCCATAGCCATGCACCTTCAACCTCCATCTCCCTCCTTCACCTACACCCATCCACCATAGCCAGGCACCCTCAACCTCCATCCTCCTCCTCCACCTACACCCATCCACCATAGCCATGCACCCTCAACCTCCACCTCCCTCCTCCACCTACACCGATCCACCATAGCCATGCACCTTCAACCTCCATCTCCCTCCTTCACCTACAACCATCCACCATA